AGGCACTGCAGCAGGAACGATCCATCAGATCTAGGGAGAGGCTTCTATTAGAATTGGGGTTACATCTAAAGTATACAATGAATGAGAGGACGGATGTAGCGCAGCAGCTGCAGCAGCAACAGCAACTGCAGCAGCAGCAGCAGCACCAACACCATAGTCTCCTGCAGCAGCTCGAGCAGCTCGAGCACGATCGGGTCCGGCAGGATCAGGCACAGAGGAAGCAGCAAGAGCTGCTGCAGCAGCAAAGAATACTGCAGCAGCGCGGATTACTGGAGCAGCACCAGCAGCCGACAGAGTTGCAGCAACAGCAGCAGCAGCAGCAGCAGCAGCAGCAGCAGCTGTACACAGGCAGTGGAGGAGCAGCAGCAGGGCAACCATGCTCAGCTGAGACATTGGATAAGAAGATAGCTTTGCTGACATCGATGCTGCAGCAGCGGCTGCAGCAGCAAGGGCTACAGCAGCAGATACTGCAGCAGCCGCTGCTGCAGAAAGAGGCCGAGCAGACGAAGCATGAGCCTTTCTCGCGGAGTGCCTCTCAACTGCAGCAGCAGCAGCAGCAGCAGCAGCAGCATGCGCATCATATGCGGCAGCAGGAGTCTTCTTATGCGGAAAAGCTTCTCCAACATCTCTCAGCCCACCAACTGCACTACCGCCAGCAGCAGCAGCAGCAGCAGGAGCAGGAGCAGCAGGATGAGGAGGATCAGGAGGAGGAGGAGGAGGAGGAGGAGGAGGAGGAGCACCTCTCCTTGCAGCAAAAATTAGATCTCTTAGTCAACCACCGCCTGCTGCAGCAAATGGTACTACCAGCTGACTCTCCAAATACCTCCACCATCACCTCCCGATTCCTCTTAAGGAATCATATTACTATGACGGAGGACCTCCAGAGGGTACAGGCTTACCAGAGGGCCCTTAAGGTCAGATTTAGAGGGGGGCCCCTTAGGTGTGAGGGGCCCCCTACGGGGGCCCCCCACCCCAAAGGGGCCCCTGGGGTCCTACGGCGTGGACCCCTTGTTATTGAAATAGGCACAGGACCCTTCGCGCTGCTGTCTATTAATGCAGCAAGAGAAGGAGCAAGGAGGGCATTAGCATTAGAGGCAGAGCGCAGCAGCAGCAGCAGCGCTTGCTGCTTTGTTAAGGCATTAGGGTACGATAAACAAATAAAAGTTGCATGCGCATACAGCACAGATATATCTCCTGCTAGATTCAAGAAACTGCTTACCTTTAAGCAGCAGCAGCAGCAGCAGCAGCAGCAGAAGGGGAAGAGCGCGCGGACTGATAGCACCAGCAGCGGGTGCAGCAAAGGAAACTCACCTGCTGCTGAAGAAGCTGAAACAGCTCCAGCAGCAGCATCACCTGCAGCAGCAGCAGCAGCAGCAGCAGCAGCAGAAGGGGAGGAGGAGGACTTGAGTAATGTCTTGCTGCTGCACGAGATTATAGGGGACTTCTCGGGTAATGAAGGTGCAGCAGATGTAATCCTTCATCTGCAGCAGATGCTGCAGTTGCTGCAGCTGCAGCAGGGTGTACATACACCTCGTCTCCCTAAGTCTATCCCCTTAGCAGCAAGAACACTGTTGCGGCCCTGCTGCTTACCGCAGCAGCAGCAGCTGCCCTTTGCTCATCATACATATACGCAGCGCAGCAGGGTGTCTCCTAGGAGGAGGCTGCTGCAGGCTGTGGGGCTGCTGCAGCAGCCGCTGCTGCTAGCAGAATCTGCTGCTTCTGTTGAGGTGCTGCGGGGCCCTAACTCAGACCCAAAGGCACGCAGGGTGCAGCGGCCGCAGCATCCGTCCGATACACTGCAGCTCAAGCAGCAGCAGAAGCAGCAGCAGCAGCAGCCGGTGGATGCGTCAGACGATGCAGCAGGAGATGGCGAAACAACAGCAGAAACAGCAGCAGCAGCAGCAGCATCAGCAGCAAAAGATAATGATTCTTTTTTATCATCTGTTGCTTCTGCAGCTGAAGCAGCAGCACCAGCAGCAGCTGCTGCTGCTGCTGCAGCAGCAAGTATGGATGGAGAATCTGCTGCTGAAGGAGTACGTCCAGTATTTGAAGAGTTGCTGTTTGAGGAATGCATGCAGCAGCAGCAGCAGCAAGAAAGACATCTAACTTTTGTTGTTGCTAAGGATGGCCTATTTGCTGGTCTCTGTATTACTAATGAAGTTGAACTCGCCCCAGTAAGCAGCAGCAGCAACAGCAGCAGCAGCAGCAACAGCAGCAGCAGCAGCAACAGCAGCAGCAGCAGCAGCAAGCAGTAGCAGAAGAGGACCTTTTAGCTGTTTATCTGCTTATCTGTACACAACTCTAGCCACAACATTCTTGATATCATTGCTTGTGCTGCTGCTGTTGTTGCTGCTGCTGTTGTTGCTGCTGCTGTTGCTGTTGTTGCTGCTGCTGCAGGGTGTAGTGGTGGGTACTGAGACATGCCCAAGCAGCTCATCAGCAGACACAGAAGCAGCAAGATCTGTCCAAGGTACATCTTGTTGGTTTAAGGGAATTGTTTTATTAAAAGAAGAAATAAAAGTAATAAAAGGAGATATTATTCATGTTGCTGCTGCTGCTAATCTACAAAATTATGTAAGGAAATAAAATATACATATATATGCATGCATGCAAAGACACACAGCAGCAAGACACAAAGACACACACACACATATACGTATATACAAATACATATACATGCATATATATGTGTGCATACATATATATACAACAGACATACGTCTATATTTAACAAATATAACAGCAGCAGCGTTTGCTGCTGTTTGATTGCTGCTGCAGCGTTGCTGCTGCAGCACATGCTGCTGCTGTTGCATTTTCTGAATTATTTTGCTGTTGCATGCGCCTTCAGGAGAACAAGTCACCCCCGCCTTCTCAGAAGACAGCGGGGGGAGGACGCAGCTGGTGCAGCAGCATCAGCAGCAACCTCAGCAGCAGCAACAGCAGCCGCTCTATATCCGAAAGGCGCTCTCCTGGTAGCAGCAGCAACAACAACGTCAGCAGCAAAAGGAGCAGAAGCAGCAGCAGGAGCTTGAAACCTAAAGAAGAGCTATCCACGCATGCTGCTGACGAGGAGACAGAAGCCACAACCGACGTGGAGAAGGAAGGAGGAGGAGCAGCAGCAGCAACAGATGCACCCACGCTCAAGAGGGGAAGTGCAGCTGGCGTGAAAGCTAAGAGCAGCAGCAGCAGCAGCAGCAGCAGAACGCCAACAGGACTTCTCCATAAAGACGCTGTAAAGGAAGAAAGGGAGACACCCAAGACACCGCCTAGCAGCCAGGCCAGCAGCATTAGCAACATTAGCAGCGTTAGCAGCCTCAGCGGCCTTAGCAGCAGCAGCAGCAGCAGCAGCAGCAGCAGCAATAGCAGTAGCGTGTCTCCCGTCTCTCCATTTGAGCTCAGCGCTACGGGGAGCCGTGGAGCTCAGAGTTGCAGCCCTACGGGGCAGCGCAGCAGGAGCAGCAGCAACAGCAGCAGCACATGCACAAAAAACAACAGTGACACTAACGGGAGTCCCGAGGATCCCAGCAGCAGCAGCAACAGCAGCAGCATAAGCAGCAGCAGCAGCAGGGGTAAGAGGATGCTCGAGATTCCGGAGGAAACAGAACTGCTAAAGCGCAGTCGGCCTAAGGGCTGTAAAGACAGCCCCAAAGATTCTGCTGTTGATTTGCCCCCTGAAGCAGCAGCAGGAGCAAAAAATGATGATGATGGTGATGCTGCTGCTGCTGCTGCTGCTGCAGCAACTGCTGCAGGGTTAGCAGATAATGATGAAAAAGAGGAACAAGATCTATCCAAAGAAGAAGAAAGAGAAGCAGAAATAGAGAGGCTATCCTCCTTATTACAACAAAAAAAAAGATATGCTCGACCACATTACTGGTTTGGAATTCGTCTTTTTCGAGACGAAAAAATTCTATTAAATTGTTCTATCGATTTGCCTATAGAGGAACAATGTCCAAATGCTCCCCCAGAAAATAGTAGCAGCAGCACCAACAGTAGTAGTAGTAGTAGTAGTAGTAGTAGTAGTAGTAGTATTAGTAGTAGTAGTAAGCATACACTAGATGCAGCAGCACATGGTAAAAGGGGAGCAAGTATCAGCAGCTGCAGCAACAGCCGTGGCTGGTGATGATCATTTACTTCCTGTTGCTCAAGCAGTGGCAGCAGCTGTTCCTGCTGCAGCTGCTAAGCAGCTACTGCAACACACACATATATATATACAGCTGCAGATGTGCAGCGACAGCTGCCGCTCGTAATAGAGCTGAGCAGCTGCTGCTGCTGCTGCGGAGACTCAGGTATGCCGCAACAGCATAGGCTGCTGCTGTTGCTGCTGCAAAGCAGCAGCAACTGCAGCAGCCCATAGAGCCCATAATGGGCTACCGTGAGATAGACATACGAATTGTCTTAACTGTTTAATTTTTCGTCTATGCTTTTTAATTAAATAAAGCGTAAAAAGAGAAATATAAATTAAATAGAGGAAGCAGCAAAATATATAATAAGAATAGAGGCACGCATGCAACATGATGATAGGAAAAGCAGCAATATGTACAGATAGGCAAGACACATAGGGATAAAAAGGGTAAATAGAGAAACAAAGAGAACTATGCAGCTAAGAAATGTCATTTAATTTACTCTGCTACGTGCTGCTGCTGCTCTCTCTCTAATGCTATAAGAGGAAGTATATAAGGAGTAGTTGTATAGTACGGCATTCCTCTAGTTTGTTAGTTTCTTACGTTATTTGTTTGGTTCCCCTGTTTGTTTCTTTATAGTTGCTGCCTCCTCTCTATTTTGAGGGAATTCTTTTGCTGCACTTTGTTGCCTAGAGAAGTCTACAACTGTGCATGCAGTGCATGCATGCACTGAATTATCTGCCAGTCTACACACATCAATCCATCTACGCAAGTATGCATGCATGCATGCATGCATGCACTAAGTTATCTGCTTGTCTATATACCGCACAACTACATCGCTGCAGCATTGAATTCATGCTGCCCGAGCTTTTTTTGGAGCTCCCAAGTTCGCATATGAATATCCACGGGAAGTTGCTGCTGCTGCCTGTTTGCAGCAACAACAACAGAAGGGGGAGAGGCAAAACAAGCGCAAACCTGCTGCCTGCATGCAGCCCCATGGGAACAAGAAAACAAAGAAACATGTGTCTGTGGGCGTGGTTGCTGCTGCTGCTGCTGCTGTTGCAACCGCTGCAGCTGCTGCTATAGCTGCTGCTGCAACCGCTGCAGCTGCTGCTATAGCTGCTGCTGCTGCAACAGCAACTGCTGCTGCTGCTGCTATAGCAGTGCAACAACACACCGTCCAGCTGCGACTCTATAGTCTATATATATACCTACAAATGGATAGATACAACTGCAGTTGTGCATGCAACTGCACAGCCTATCACAACACCCCCCTTCCTTAGGGGGTAAATGTATTAGTCAGCAAGGCACACAAACTCATCAAGAGGATGATGTTATTAACAAGTAATAAGAATAAACACGTGTCTCTTATCTTCCTCCTCCTATATAACGAAGAACGAATATAAGGGCAGGTTAAGACGACTCTGTGTATACAGTGTGTCGCCACTCTCTGTGTGTCTGTCAGCCTGCTGCTGCTGCTGCTGCTGCTTCTGCTTCTATATATTATACTGTATATGCATATGTATATCAATAGATAGATATATTCATGATGCATTGCTGCAGCCCTTCTAACAAGTTCTCTCGTATTTACTAGGACAGCAATAATGAGCCAAAAGACACAAAGATGCTCCTTCTTGCTGCCCTTCCCCTTATTGCTGCGAGAGAAGCGCTTGTACCTCAGACAATACGTCACGCTTCTCTCCTGCTGACAGCCGCCCTACCAGCTGCAGCAGCTCCCTCCTGGAGGCTGCTGCTTCCGTACGACGCAGCAGGGCCCCCACTTTCTCCCGCCCTTCACTGCCTGATAGACGCAAGCAAACAAATAAATAATAGAAGAAGGAGATTAAATAACACATATAGAGGGAGCAATCGGAATCAGAGAGGTGCTGCTGCTGCTAAGCAGTAACAGCGTAACAGGTACATGGCTGTACACCCTACACTACAAGAGCCACTACTAAGAAGCAGCAGAACGCGTTGGCTGTATAGAAGAGAAAGGCAAAACATTAGCATTGAGCATGCACTGCAGCAGCAGCAACAGCAGAAACAGCAGCAAGGATAGACAGGTGCCTACTTTCCAAGAAGGCAACGGCCTCCTGGTCATCAACAGCATCTGCCGTCTGAGGATTTTCTTTATGAAGTAAACTAAGAGCTTCTTCCCAACTAAGAGAGGGATCTGCTGCCATCAACTTCTTGCTGCAGAGAGACACCCCATAGAGACAGAGACAGAGAAGGAGATAAATAAAGGAGATAAATAAGGAGACAATCAGAAGAGCCACGCGGGCTGCTGACGAATTCTCTTGCGTATAAATTACCAGCAGCACACACGCACACAATGCTAATGCTACAGAGAGAGACAGACACAAGGAGATGAGAAGAAGAGAGGACGTATCAATGAATGCAACACCAATAGATACGGCTACCATAAGCAATGCATGTGCTTGCTTGCATGCAGCCCCAAAACTCCGTTGCATGCAGTTGGCTTACACAACGTTATTTGCAGCGAGTCTCCTCCGTACTCTCCAGTAGAAGAATTCTCTTGCCTTCTCCCAAGTTAATATTTTTCTTACTCCTCCTCGTGCTGCCATACGGGGGGCCCTATCATGGAGGTCTGCGTACACGTGGGCAACCTGTACAGGTACCCCGCAGCAAAGGAAAGAGATTTATATATTTGTATGTTTATTTCTTTGTTTTATACAAACTAATTGGTACACTTAATGAATGTGCATGCATATTTATAAGAATAGATATACACGGACCTGCGTGTAGACAGGCATCAACAGGTTCTCTCTCTTGTTGATGTCCTCCTTGATCTTCTCCGCCGCTTCTGGTGACTGCATGCGCATGCAACACAATACAACACATATACAGGAGATAAGCAACAGAAGCTTAATAAATAGCAGCAGCAGCTGCTGCTGAATAAACAACAGCATGTGAGCAGCAGCAGCAGCAGCAGGAGTGTACTGCGTGCGACGTACAGTAGCAGCAGCAAGATCTCGGTACAACTGCTGCAGCTTGGCGTCATTTTTCTGCATAAGTTTTTTTCTTTCTGCTTCTTTGAATTTAATCTCGCAGATTCCTGGGGGTTCTAAGACTCCTCCTCTTGCTAATTCATCAGCATACAGCTCCATTTGTGAGGAATTAATGGTGGGGTCAATAACAACCCATGATCCTCCTCTTAATTCACCATAAGGAGGTATATATACGAATACAGGGTGTCTATACACCCTAAGTGCATCTACTATCATAGACCCGAACTTTAATACCTCATTAAACATATCTCTTGTACCCCCAGAAAATCCTCGCCAATTCGCAAATATTATTAATGGCAGATTCTCCCCTCTGTTAAAATCCGCTATTGCCTGAGCTGTCTTGTAGGCACTTGATGGGAACCACACCTGTCCAGCCTGCATGCATGCATATACAGCAAACACAGCAGCAAGCACCCTTGCAACTCGGCTGCAGGAAACCACTGCTGCTGTTGCTGCAGATACGGGGGCGCAGCAGTTAGCTGCGCTACAGTAGGAGTTTGCTGGGGTGCAGCACCTAGATGTAGTGCATGTGTTGCGCTGCAGCGGTGGGCCTGTCTGTGTATCTCTGGGGTGTATGTGCAGCAAACTAACCTGTGGGGTTTCTACTCTGCTGCTCTCAGGATTAGCAGGGTCTGCAGGGGCGACGGCTGTGGTAGTCCTTGTGTCTACAGCAATAACACCAATAGGCTGCCCTCCTAGCCTCGCCCTGCCAACAACGACACCTGATCCCCATGGTCCTAACACTTCCTTGAAGCTGTCTTTATCGCAGAAACCAGAAACCCATCGCTTATCCTGCTGCTGCTGCTGCTGTTGCTGCTGCTGCTGTGGCTGTTGCGCCTCCTCCGATGTCTCGGAGGCTGGTGTTGCGGGTACCCAATGCCCTGCTATCATATGTCTAGGGTCGTAGGGAGTAGAAGAAGGAGTAAACTCAATTTTGCGGTCTACAGGGTCTGTAGCGCGGTGGGGTGTATGCATAGCATCTGCTGTAGGGGGAACGAACTGCAGCCATCGCATAGCTTCCTCAATGCCCTCTCTATCCGACGCAACTTGTAAGTGAGTAACCCCGTTAGGTGCCATGACCTCGGGGCCCCCTAGTTGCTCTTGAGAGACATAAACATCACGACCTAATAATTTATTTAATGCCTGAAACCCTGTTAGTACCAAGGGAGAGTGCTGCTGCTGTATACAACGTTGTGCAAGACGAACAACATATGCACCTATACCCACAGAACGTCCTGTTACAAGAGAAAGAGTAAATACTTCATCATATGCTTGACTTGTTTCCCCTGCAATCTTCCCCGATCCTCGTAAATTCTCAACACCTAAGTGCTGCCCTGCCTCCCCTACCACCGCCTCTAATACAAACACCCTCTCCCCTGTCTTAGATGGGGAAGCCTCCCATCTACCTACCACCGCCCCTGCAGGCAGCTGCTTCATATCGCTCTCCGATATATATAAATGTTTGAAACCTAACCATGGATTCTCTGGATCGTTCCATTCCACCTGTAATTTGGATTTTAGCTGTTCATACACCCCAATACGCGCCCCGCTATTGCATGCAATATAGAGCCGCGGGATCTTGTGCTGCCGCGAGAACGCAGATGCCTGTCTATACAATTCATGTTCCTCTACACCAAAGGAACCCCCTTGATGTGTAACATCATTTCCTATTAACACCACCTCCCTCCCTTGAGGATACTCGGGGGTACGCAGCAACAGCAAAAAGGCAACCATTCCCACGCGGTTGTCACCAATCACCCAGTCGCGGTGTAACTGCAGCTTCCCGTCTGGGCCCATGTGAAACTCCCTTGCCTGCAGCACATAAGCAGCACAACAACCACAACAAACACTAAACACATAAATAGCAACAGCACCAGCAATGCCAACACCAGCAGCAACAGCTGGAGCAATAGCAGCACAAACAAGAACACCAACAAAACAGCAGCACCACCGGCTGATATTACAGCAGCAGCAGCAGCAGCACTGCACCAAGAGAGCATCAACTCCCGTCTATTTAGATTTACCTCCAGGAGCTTGTGAGGCACACTAAGAATGCGGGGGTCTCCTGCTGCAGTGAAGGCGTCTTGCGTACGCTTCCACTGCTGCTGCAGCTCCGCATTGATAAGGCCCAAGAAGTCGTAGATGTAGGTGCTGCCTGCTCTTTGTGCTGCAGCACGTTTTGCTGCTAATTGCGTTTCGGATATGCCCCGGAGAGTAATCAAAGGAGCCGTCCTCTCTGCCTCTGCTGCTGCTGCTGCAGTCCCGCCGCGTCCCCACGAGAACGGCAACCTCTCATGCGTACAGCTGCTGCTGCGGTGGCTACTCGAGCTCGCCACGCTGCTGCTGCTGCTTGCTGCTGCTGCTACAGACCCGCTCTCCCCTTCCTGGAATGAACCGCTCTCGGGAGTAAACAACTCCGACAGAAGAGGAGATGGCGCTGCGGAGCTCTCGGCTGTCGATGCCTCTGGCGCCAGCGGATGCTGCTGCTGCTGTTGCTGCTGCATCTTCATCCGTGCTGCAGTAGATGCATGCAAGTCACATTCCCCGTATCCCCCTGTCGCAGACACCTCGGGCTCCAGCCAGCATCCGCCTCTGCTAGAGGCCCTGATGAGTTGTTGCTCCTGCGACCCTGCAGCAGTACCCAGGTTGTCCTCTGGTGGGTTTGCTTCTGGCTCTGTTGCTGCTGCTACAGCTGCTGCAGCATCTTGCGGCACCCGCAGCTCCAACTTTTCCACATTTAGCTTCAGCAGCCGCTCGCCGTGCTCTGCCTTCAGCTGCTGCAGAGCTTCTAAGAAGCCCTTGCGCAGCGCTGCTTGCTTTTCAGGTGATTCCTGCTGCAGCAGCTGCAGCACGATGACACTGCTGCTTGTGGGGTGGACCTGAGGGTCCCGGAAGGCTGCCTCCAGCTGCTGCATCAGGTGCTGCAGTAGCTGCTCCAGCCCTTGCTCCTGCAGCAAAACATCGGCCTTGGGAATATTGCGATGTACGTACACTGTATCCCGCAGCGCCGGAGCCCGAAGAGGAGCAGCAGCCCCGGCTGGAGGCACAGGTGGCTTGGGGGAGACTGCATGCAGCAGCAAATCTGTAGATGCTGCTGGAGGCACTGCAGCAGCAGCCGCCGCAGACGGCAATCGCCGCACTGTCCCTATGTTCCGCATTGTCTCAATCTCACCAAATACAAACTGAGACAGAGACAAACCGCTGCAGCAAGAAGAAGAGCACAGACACAAACACAAAGCATAAGCTTTCGTGCTCCTGCGGTTGCTTCTGCTACTGCAGCAGCTGCTGCTACTGCAGCAGCTGCTGCAGACGGGAGGAGACGGCTGCGGTTCCTGTGCGAAAAGTAAGAGCCAGCGTTCAGCTGTCCGTACACCGCAGAAAAGGGTTGCATAACTCACCGCTGCAACAGGTCTTCCTGGAGCTGCAGCTGCTCCTGCTGCAGCACAAGAGCGACTTGCTGCGCGTCGCCGCTGGCTGTCGGCAGCAGCAAACGGAGACTGTGGAGGTTCTTAAGTGCAGCAGCTGCAGCCGGCGAGCTAGCTGCTGCTGCAGCAGCTGCTGCCGCTGCAGCAGCTGCTGCCTCGCCAGCGGCTGCCTCAGATCCTGCAGCACCTGGCTGTGCGTTGAATAGGGGCAGACTCAGCAGCAGCACGCCTTTGGCCCCTTTGTCTAGTGCTTCCTGCTGCCGGGCCAGCTGCTGCAGCAGCGATCCCATCCGCTGCTGCAGCTCCTCTACATTGTCAAGGGAAGCAAAGACACCTGCATTCATTGTTGCTCCAGCGCCATGTTTAAGGCTTTCTCTCCATGTGAAGGAGACTGCACCCTGGTGCTGTTGCTGCTGTTGCTGCAGCTGCAGGTCTAGCCCAAGGAGCTGTCTCCTCAACGTCATCTCCTGCGCTGTGAGTCCTACCTGAGGGTCTTTAAAGAGATGGGCTAAGAGGCCGTAGCCCCCGAGTTCCTCTGGGAGCTGCAGCAGATCGTCTCGAAGGACCTGCTGCTGCTCCTGCTGCAGCTGTTGCAGCTGCTGCAGCTGCATGCGTAGTATAGATACGCGATCGGCGACAGACGGCAGCAGCAGCTGCTTTAGCAGCCGCTGAGAGGCCAAAGCCAAGACATTGTATGCAACGCCCTTTAGTGCCCCCACACGACGCAGAAGGCCCTCCAGCTTTGAGGAGTCAAAGGAGGCTGCACCAGGTGCAGACAGCCTTGTCTGTAGCAGCAACAACAAGAACAGCTACGGCAGCAACAGAATTAGCAGCAGCGGAAGCGTGCATGGACTAACACAGAGAGTAACAAGTACAAAACAGTGCCACCTTCCCTCGTGCTGCTGTTCCTGCCGTTCCTGTTGCTGCGTTGCTACAGTAGACGTCCGCTCACCGCAAGTTCCTTGAGGAGGAAGAGCAGCATTTCTGCCTTGTGTTTAAGCGCGTAGTGCGAAACATACATCCTGAACTGTCCCTCTGTGTCTGCTGCAGCAGCAGCAACTGCAGCAGCAGCCTCTACGTTCCCCTTTCCTGCAAACAACTCCTCTGTTTCTAAAAAGCGGGTGAGGCAATGCTCAACTAAAGACCCAAAGGCGCTAAGAGAGCTGCCGCAGCGGCCTGCAAGGAGAGCTGTCAGCAGCTGCTGTGGTGTCTGCTGCTGAACGAATCCGCTAAGCAGCAGCTCAAGTCTCCTTTCTGCTGCTGCAGCATCTTCAATTGATGCTTCGGCTGCGCCTTCGACACGGGCAGCTGGTGCTGCCGCTTCTCCTGCTCCTGCTTCTGCTCCTCCTGCTGTTGACTGTACAGGAGAAGACAGCGGATGAGGAGACAAATCCAATGAACCATCAAAAGGCTTTAGCCGCACTACCTTCGACGGGTCGTCAAGACGCAGAGAGGCCAACAATTCTCCCTGCTGAATCAACGACCCTGCGCTCTTGCGGTGTATCAACACCCCACTCTCCCCAGCCTGGAACACACGCGCCGTCCCCCAACAAGTCAGGCAAACAGTGCAGCAGCAGCAGCAGCAGCAGGAGCAAAAGGTCTTTATCCGCATATACTGCGGAGTGGCATGCCAAATGTAGCACACAACGGAGACAGCTAAAGAAAGCCCAGAAAATGTCATCGGCATATATCAAGGAGCAGCATGAGCAGCAGCAGCATGAGCAGCAGGAGCAGGAGCAGCAGTAAGAGAAGCAGCTTACAGTGAGTGTGAGGATCATTTTCATGGCTTCGACCTCTGCAAACGGCTGTCCCTTTTTAACTGTCTCCCCATCTTGAATAAGATATCGAACGAGCCGTCCGTTAACATCTGATCGTAGCTCGGATGGATCGCGCGGGTCCACCACCATCATTGAATCCTTCCCCAACTCTAAGCGCAAGCCTAGTGGCTCTTCTGTAGCACTAAAACGAAGTAGCCGTGGCTGCTGCTGCTGTTCTTTGTGTGTCTGTTGTTGTTGCTGCTGTTGCTGTTGCGGGGGCTCGGAATATATTGACAGGATGAAGGAACCGTCAGCCTGGCGTCGGTACTCCGCCTCTCCCTTCTGTTTGTTCAAAGAAAAACCCAACGCATTAGGAGATGTACGAGAAAATTTAAATGTGTACAACTCCCCATCCCAGGCTATCGGTACCTCCACAGACAGCAGCGGCCCCACAGGCGGCAAGTAGCTGTGGCCCCGTTTTGCTGCGGAAAGCCAGGCTGCCTTCTGCTTCTGCAGCAGCATCGCAACAGCACAGCAACACCACCAATATAAAACAGCTACGCATATCGGCTGAGGCACAGCGGTGGCAGCTTGGCATCATCCAGACGCAGACAGCAACAGCAGGGGAAATGGAGCCTCGTCCTCAGCGGCATAACGACACGAGCAGGCAGAAAACGGTCCAGCAACAGCAGCACCATCAGCAACGAGAGCAGCGGCAACAGCGACAGGAGCAGGAGGCGTAGGGCGTCGCACCTCAAGAGCCTGTATCGCTCTGAAGGCTGCGGAAGCGAATACAACTTCAGCCTTATTTGGTGCTGGTAGGAGTTGTTTGGCTTTGATGATGCTATCCAGCCATTCTGTATTGAGGGTATGATTAACGAAGGCAGGCTGCTGCAGCAGGCGCTTAAGGAACTCTATTGGTGTGCGTATGTCTCCCCGGATCTGCAGCTGCTGCAGCCCCCATATAAGTCTCTTGCGAGCTTCATTGCGATTATCCCCCGCAGCAAAGATGTGACCGAATTGTGAATCTGCATGCCCATGCAAAGCCCCATGCGTCCCCACGGCGAAGTAACCCCACACCTTCTCGGGGGGGCTAAAATCTAGCGAATCCACCCGTCCGCTGGTAGGTCGAAAGCCTTCGCTCGGGTTCTCTGCAGTTATTCGAGCCTGCATGCAAGCCACAACCCAAGACAGCAACAATGCCCGATGGACCCATGCAGCAGCAACCAATGTAAAAGGTAATGCAACAAAACCCATGCACAAACAGTCTAGGCGCAGACCATACAACTGCTTTTGGAGCACATGTAGAGTTAATTCCCAACCAGTAAAACGGAAAACAGCGAACGACGCGGACGGAACCTCTACGGAACCAAACGTACGAGGCAGCGGAGCAGCAGCACGAAAATCAGCAGCAGAAGAGCAATCAACTGTAACATCAGCAGTTGCAGCACCAGCAGCGGCAACGTGTTGTATCTTACGGCAATGACGTGGCTATTGAGCTGTTTATAATCCTCGGATAAGAAGTCGATCGGCTCTGTGCCGTCTGTTGGTTTATTAAAGAAAGCGCGGATACTGGGTACTCTATAGAGAGGAATGCCCATGGCGATCTGCAGCTGCAATGCAGGTAAGTTTTGGCCAGTCACGGCCTCTGTAACGGGATGCTCCACCTGAAGACGGGGGTTTAGCTCGAGGAAGAAGAAAGAATTCGATGTGGGGCTGAACAAATATTCCACTGTCCCCAAGCCCTCGTAGCCCAATGACTGCGTCAAACGCTGCGCCGCCCGCTCCATCTCCCTGCATCCAGCAGCAGCAACAGCAAAGAAGTCTCCTGTTGCATGCGCTGCTACCCACATGTGATGCTACATGCGCTAGTGCATGAATTGCTGCATGCGCTGCTGAGTATCACACTGCTGCTGCACATGATGGAACTGATGGAGCTGCTTCAACAGACGGGAGGAGGCAGAATAAAAAGGCGAGAGGAGACAGAATAATACAAAGAGAGTAGGAAAAGACAGGGAAATGATAGAAACAAGCAAGGAATTGAGGGACGAGGCCGCTGAAACAGCAAACCCTATGGCTATGTGAACCAAGGAAGCTACGACAGCCGCATGCGCAGCAGATGCATTAAGAGACAGTGAAGGGGAGGCAACAGACTTGAATGTGTCTGGGGGCACGACGGTTGGAGGCGCTTCTTCAAATATTTTTTGGAATCGCCTCTGTGTGCTGCAGTCTCTTCCTGAGAGTGCGACGGCATTGCCGTGGGTGTCTCCTGCAATTTGTACTTCAATATGTCTTGCTTTCTCGCACAGTCTCATTAGAAAAACAGGAGACCCCTGCACCTCCGCTTGAACCTGCGCCAGTGCTGTCTCTAAATCCTCCGCACGGTAACATAAACGGATCCCTTTGCCCCCTCCTCCCCCTGATGCCTTCAACAGCAACGGATAACCCACTCGGTCTGCAGCAGCGCGGCACTGCTCCAGAGTTGAAATCGTCGCTGCCTTGAACACCTGCGAACACAATACAACAGCAGCAGCAGCAGCAGCAGAGGCAGCAGGTTCACAGGGATGGAGAAAAGGATACAGAGGAGCGAGTGCACGGGCGACCGCATCCTCTCGCAGCAGCAGACAACAGGAGTCCCCCTGGCTACGGGGAGAACTCAGAGACACACAAATAACGAAACCAGAAGCCAAAGAAGAATAAAAAATTAAAGAAGAAGAAGATAAAAGGAAAGAAGAAGATGAGTGTAGATTTACCTCCTGCGGTATATTGCCCTCTCTATCGAGTTTAGCTGTAAGGCCAGTGCCGCTCCATGGGATGGCGGGTACTTGTGCTGTTTGTGCTAAAATATTGGCAGCAATTTTATCACCAAGTGCCGCCATTACCTTCGACTGAGGCCCTAAGAATATTATACCCAACTCAGACAGGCGAGCAGGTAAAGAAGGATTCTCTGATGCATGCCCCCATCCAGGCCACACGGCGTCAACCTGCATTCAGGTGTATCCGCAGACACACATATATATAATTAATGCATGCAGACTGCATAATATATCTTTCTGCTGTCTTTGTACGGGGGAAAAAATAGGCCAAGATGCTGATGATGCTGCAAATGATGCTCTCCTTGTATCTGCTGAATCGCTGGCTGCTATTGCTGCTGCTGTTACTGTTGAGGCACAAGGGAAAAGGGAAGCAGTACGGTGTGTCACCGCACCTTTTGCTTCACTGCTATGTCGCATATAAGAGAAACATTGCCATAGTTCTCCCTGCTGGGGCCCCCAGGGACAGGAACAATCTCGTCTGCCTTCTTTAGAAATTCACTGTTTGCCTCTAGGTCATCGGGCGATGCCATAGCCACAAACGTCAGCAGCTGCAGCAGCAACAGCAGCAGCAATGGAAGCAGTAAAGGCAATAGCAGGACACCAGCACACGACGCCACAAAGACACCCATGCAAAACAGCGGCTGCTTGACAACAGCAGCAGCGGCCCCAGCAGCACTCGCTGCAACACGTGCAGCAGAAACGAGCGCACGCGCCCCCACAGCAACAGCAGCAGCAACTGCAGCAACAGCAGCAGAACTGACATTTGGGTCCCCGAAGGTCTCGAAGGTCCACTGGCGCATAGAGGCAATGGCCTTGGTGGCAGCCATCCCGTTGTTTGCGATCAATATACGGCGAATGGGGCGGCTACCTCTGCAGCAGCAGCAGCAGCACACACACACAGCAGCAGAGGCAATGTAAGCTAAGGAGGGAGGAGAGACGCCATGACGATATAGGAAGAAAGAGAGACGTAAAGCTCTTATATAGACAAGATAGAGCAGCAAAACAAACCCGTGCTGCAGCAGGAAACAGCAATGAGACACGGGAAAGATAGGGAAGCAACTGTTAACCGAAGAGGGCAGAGAAGGAGACAGCTGGCTATGGTACAGTACCCGCAGTGCACGCTGCAGCAGCAGCAGAAGAAGAAGAAATAGAACAGAGAGGGATAAAAAAGAGACAGAGAAGCAAAGGGAAGGAGGCGACAATAAACAACAGTTTAGGGTCTAGGGTCTAGATATACATACCCATGCATTGATACATAAGCGGATAAGGGGTCCTCTGTATCCATCCAGGGGCCTCTTTGTCTAGCTACCTCCTCTGCCTGTGCCCGTTGTGGGCCTGTAAGGGGGGGAGAAGGTGTCTCGGGTGTCTGTACACCGCAGTAGCAAACAAGGAGCAACACAATTCTGCTGATGCTGCTAGTTTAACCCTCACAAGCAGCTGCTGCTGAGGAGAGAAAGAGAAGAAGCAAGAGGCAGAGCAAACACAAGAGGAGCTGCAACGGCTATATATGGCTTACGGGCTGCATTTCCGTTGCTGCTGCAGCTGCAGCTGCTGCTGCTGCGGTTGCTGCTCTTGCTGCAGCGGTTCCTCTGCGGGGCTTATGCTCGGCTGCTGCAACAACAGCAGCAACCGTGCTGTTACGTTGTCTTGAGTGTAGGAGATTCCTACACTCTAGTGTTGTCCCTCCCTTGGTTGTACTGATGCGGCAGTTCAGGCCTGTTGGCTGCTGACTGCCAAAAGAGGCAACAAATGCAGGAGAGAGTTGGCGCTGTAGCGAAGAAGAGAGAGGCGAGCGAAGCTGCTGCTGCTGCTGCTGCAGCTTGTGCAGCTGCTGCTGCTGCGGCGGCAGCAGTGCGCCCCCAGGCACTCCTGAGATGTCTGTGTATGTCCAGGCGGACGCGGGCGTGTGTAGCAGCAGCAGCAAGAATAACAATAGCTGCAGCAGCGGCAGCAGCAGCAGCAGCAGCGGTGGGAGAGACAGAGACACTGGCTGAACACTCCCCAAGAAAAACCTAACTGTACCCTTACAGCGCTGTCTCCTTTCTGTCCTCGAGTTCATTTTTCACACTTTGCTGCACACGGGCTCCAGCAAAAGCACAGGAAGACAGCGGCGTGTTGTCGCTGCAGCAGTGCCCACAAAGGTGTGCGTACACCCCAGCACGCCCTGCTGAAGCAGCAATGCTGCAGCAGCAACAAAACCCAAGGAGCTCCCAGCCCCTAGCAGCTCAATAAAAACAAGACAGACAGCTACTGCAACAACACAGCTGCTGAACACCAACAGCCTGCAGACAGTCAGCAAACGAGACACCCAGACAGACGGACAGACATATGCAACTGCGAGGAACGACGGCCCCTGCCACAGCTGCAGCTGCTGCCGCTGCTGCTGTGCTGTCCCTGCCGCTGCTGCTGTGCTGCAGCTGCTACTGCCGTTCCCTCTGCTGTCGTCCCTGCTGGTATTGTTTCTGCTGCTGCTGATGTTGCTGAGGATATTGTTTCTGCTGCTAGTGTTGCTGTTGCTGCTGTTCCTGCGAATCCCGCTGCCGCTGCTGCTGCTGCTGCTTCCTAGGCGTGGCGCAGGGCGACACGCAGCCCAGCAACTGCAGAGGGACGGGCTGCTGCCCTTTTCATCAGGAAGACGATGTGTACGTAACAGCGGAATATGTTGATATGGGCCGGGAGTATACAAACTGGTGGAGGAATAAGCCGCGGCGCGTCGGGTCTGTGCTGCTGCGGCGGTGTTGGGGCAGTTGATTTCTGTACAAAGCATGCAAAGGAGACTCTACGGAGAGTTTAGAAGCGGATACAGTATAAAAACAGAACAGGGAGTCACGAAGGGGCTCAGAGAAAACAGCAGACGAGAAAGAGACCCTCTCAGACGCAGGCGCCTAGAGCAGCAGCAGCATCGTGCTGGGTGCAGCAGAGTTACAGACAGACAGAGAGAGCAGCAAGAAAATAAAAAGAGAGATGCAAAATAGTGAGTCCCGCAGTGTTACTTTGTGGGGTTTCTAGGGGCGGCCCGAAGTTGTTACCTCGTTGTGTGGCGGGGGTGCCTGCTGCTGCTGCTGCTGCTGCTGCTGCTGCTGCTGCCCCAGCGCTCCACACTGTACAGACTCCCTGAGTTGGGAGGAAGCTCCTAATGGAGGCAAACGCCTCAAAAGAAAAACAAAATGCAAGCACTCGCCCCCACACATACGTGGAGACAGACAGCAGAACCAGGCGGCAGCAGCCGATAGGCCACTGCCGAGACAGCGCGACAGCAGCAGCAACAGCTCCAGGCTGCAAGGAGGGCCCCCAGGGGCCCTCCTGCTGAATACTAATGCAAAACTAGCTTAACAAAGGTGAATGCTAGAAACAGAACCAAGGGTAAGCATATAAATGCAGACGGACACACACACGGCGACCCGGAGGGTACGCTGCTGCTGATACACTTTACAATATTTTCTCTTGCCTCTCCTAACAGCGAATCTCAGACTTCCCATCTGAACAGCTATCCATCCGCGCAAACGGAAGCTGCAGCGACCATAACAAACAGACGGATGGCAACAGCAGCAGCAGAAACCCGCCGCCGTAAGTACTACCATGTCTGTAGGCAGCAACGCCGGCCTTGGGGTATCACCGTTCACTGCAGCCTGAAAACTGCGGCTCCCGATTTGTCAGAGAAAACTACTTCCAGCAAGCAGGCGGGGGACTCTTGCCCGGGTATGGGTGGCCCCTGAGCCATTTGCCGTAGGTAGCGGAGGACCCTGACTTCCCTGTTGGTTGCTTTCAGCCCCTTGGTAGTGTAGCAGACGTCAGCTGGCGTCAGCAGCATCCAACGGGGACGGAGCAGCAAGCATTCTACCCCAATCTGCTGCTGGCGTATGAGTTTTGTGCAATTTCTGCTGCCTTGCTGTGCTGACCTTGCTTATGTGTACCAACGACGCCCGGCGACCAATATGCAGAACCCCAAGCATGCTTGCCTCCGGGAACAGATGTCATGAAACTCAACAGCCATTTATTCCGGCACCCAAGAAATTCCTGCCGTTCTGCGCGCAATGCAAAAGGAATAGTAGGACTTTCTTGTAGAGCGTCTTGCTGTCTGCATGGGGGATACTTGAAGGCTGTCAGGGGCCCCAAGGGCCCCCAAACTATCATGTTGTGCGGCAATGGAGCTGGGCTGAGGGGAATGAACGATTAGCACTGCATATCTCGACTGCTATGTGAGGGGGCCGCTCCGCTGCTGTATAGCAGTTTCTCCAGTGCTGCAATAAAGGGAATCGTTGGATGGGGTTGTTCGGGTGTACTGTTGTTCAATAAGGCTAAACCATAAATTCACCTCCCGTCTTTGAATCGTCTAGAGAGGACATTCAAAACACAACCTTAACTGAGGCCTAAGGTAGTCAGCAGGCCCATCTATGCTCGTATACCGCACTGCGGAGGCAGCGGCCTATTGTTATTTCCTGTCGCTCTCTCTCGAAAGAAGAGACTACTTCCACCCTAGACAGACAGTGGCCAGCACATTGTAGACGTGTGGGCGGGAGGACAGACGGATCCATGTAGCAAACGTATGCCATCCTGCCTCAGGACACAAGTACAGGGGACAACAGGCGTACAGCGGGTTGCCTGGGCCCACATGAAGGTATGCCGTGAAACCTCTAACAGAAAGACGCTGCTCTAGGGGGGTTAACACCCACAGAACTGAAACTGCAGTGAGCATGTAAGTTCTGCGACAACTTAAGCCAGGTAAGGAGTACAGTTAGCAGCCCCTCCGGAAAATGCAGCTCGCTTGGAGGCTCATCTGCAAGGTCCACATGCCCCACGCCCCTTTCTGTCTGCAGGAGCAGCTGCATCACGCTGCGTCAAGCAGCCAGCATGCATACTTGCATGCTGTTCAGCTAATATCTTCTTGGGCCCTAACGGTCAAGGGCTGTTGGCCGTTATACACAGAAAACTCACGATTCCACATCCCTCTGCAACAAGAGAGCGGTAGCCTTGACAGTCAAGATACGGTGAATAATTCAGCACATTTGCCTACGCACACTGGAGGAAGCAGTTGCTTTGGAAGCAGCAAACTGCAGGAAATGCTGTTGCAACAGCTGCACCTGCATCGCTGAAGCACAGCTGAGTACATTATGAGTCGGCATCTGAGACACGTTTGTTGGTTCCCAGGTGAACGACTGTAGCGCAGCCTCTTTGTGTTTCGCGGAGCTCCCTATACACCTCGTTGGATACCGTTGAATCTTGGCAAGGAATGAAGTACGTCTGTGTAGTGGCGGCAGTAGGAGCAGCAGCAGCTGCTGCTGTTGCAGGCTGTGGACTCTGCCTGCCTTCTACCATCCTCACCGACCCCGCCCTACCCAGCGCAGCGGCCTCCGGCTGCCGCTGCCCTTCAGTGGAGGCGACTGTGAGCGTGACACCGCGGCTATCTGTTCGTACTTCTTGAATTTCTGCTACGCTGACGTGCCACATTATATGCACTCCTGCTTCTAGCGGTGTTGACGTCCTTCCCCGATAACGCGACTGAACGCCCTTCTCAGAATCATTTCCCTTCACGCTGACAAGGAAAATGTCTTGAGGGTAGAACAAAACAACTAACTGAGAGATATCCGGCTTCTCGTGCCGTAAAACTGTCATGCACTTCTGCATCGGCCGCAGCACTGCCAGGCCCAGACTCTGACGCAGCTGAGCTTCCGTTTCGTCGTAGGGCCTGCAGCACACAGCAGCCGTATTGCCGCAAAATGCCTCAATGCAGCAACCAGCAGCAACCCATACAGCAAATAGCAGCAATGCAGCACGAAGCGCCAAGCAAGCAACAACAATGCATCAGCATCCCTGCAACCGCAGACAACTATCCACCCGCGAGGACGCTGGTGCGGTCCGCCACAGCAAAAAAAGCTGCGCGGGAGCAGCGGCGGCAGCAGGGTCGTCGCCTAGGCGCAGCAGCAAGTACGGGGCAACCGAACAGCAAGAACAGGTTGAGTGCAGCAGTTGCTATTTGGTTCCGCTTTCTCACCTGACTTGTCCCTGTTCTCCAACCATGCGGGGCTGTCTGTGGCGTGTGCTGATGACTTTAAGAGCGCCTAAGGGTCTGCTGACTTCCGCTTGAATACCGCGGGTCACATCCGAGACGGCCTGCCCCACTTTGTCGAGGGGCTTGACGAGAGAGCCCATCAGCCCCTTCCCGATGCCCTTAAGAAAACCACCAACACCTTCTTTCTGCGCTCCTTCTAAGGGCTTCGTGACAATGCTGGACAGGGCCCATACACCCTCGCCGATGCTCTTGCCTGCAGAAAGAAACCCCTCTCGCATTCCTGAGGCCCCCCGGCCTCTTTCTCTGCGGCGTCGGTTGATGTACTCCGAATCGAAAGTAAACGTCGACAGCAAAGAACCGAGACCAGTGGACACGCTGTCCACAGCATTTGCAGCCAGACCAATGGTGTTCCTCCCGAACTCGTAAGGCATGCGCGGCAGATTCAGCAATGAGGACTGCCCCAAAGATGCAAATAAAGACGACAGCAAGTGGTACGTGTATCGCTCTTGCAAACACGAAGTAAAAGAAGCAACTGTCCCTCTTAAATACCGGAACTCCTCCTGGCTGAACGTCAAACGCGCCCCCTTTGAGCAAAGCACGCACACAACATAAACACAGTGCAGGCTGCGTGTGTAGCAGGCCAACAACACAACTTAACGCCTATTTAGAAAGCAAATAAATCAAGCCGCTCTCTGCGACGAAGAGGGGCACATGCACTACAGGGTCACAACAGACAACACCCCAAGAGCATAAACTACAATAACAGCAGCAGTTGCTTTAGCAGTCCCTGCAGCTGCACCAACTGCGGTCTCAATCATTCAACGCAGCCGACAGCGCCAGCCAGACTCCCTAAGGGGCCTGCAACATCAGAGGCATCGATTGCAGCAGCAACAGCAACGGCGACACCAGCAGCCGCAGCAGCTTCAGCAACAGCAAAACCAGCGCCAGACGCTGGTGCAGCGTCCCTACGGTCAGCTCAAGTCGTCCTGAGGCCATGAGGATCCTGAGTCCGAGTTTGAGAAGGTCGGAGATCATGTGCATTTTGTCGAGGACAAAAGAGCACCAGCAGTACACTCGGAAACGGGAAATAACCAAGGATTCTAGAGACAAAATCGTTGGAAGAGGAGGTGGTGAGTAGCGGAGAGCCAGAGGCTCTTGGACCCAGGCGCCCAACTCCTCCAGAGATACTGCACGCCGCGATGCCGCCTCTGCCAAGCCAAATGCCATGAGGCAAGACCACACAAAGTCCTGCACGCACAAGACAGGCAACAACCCATCCCTAAAAACGCAAGCAGCACCAGCACCAGAAGCTGCTGCTGCCGGGACCTACGACACTCGTATTGACGCCCTGGTGGCGATGTAAAAATGCACTTCGTTCGGCTACTCTTTCAAAGTGCTGGTATGTCCGCCGATTCATACACGCCTACTTCTGTGTATGTGTGAGGGACAAAACCCAAGGCAAACTGCAGGATTGGTGACTGCATAGGTCTCGCATTTCGAGGAGCTTAGGTAGAAGAAGCGAAGCATGCAGTTGCGTCAAGCTAGACCAGATTAGTTTGCGCTGGACAGCAGGACTAAGGATTCAAATATATAGTTTCCTTTCAGCGGCAAAGGGGCCGCAGTTTGCACCGGTACGCTCAGTTGGGGTGTACTTACATTCAGCCCGTTGAGCATGTCTGCATCGATGTCGATTTCCAAGTCGTCGATGTCCACCAGCGCCCTCTTCAACACAATGTCTCTGCTGCCGGAGTTCAGGCGGACGACGAAGACCGTCAAGAAGGGGTTGCTGCCTCTTGGCATAGCCTGGGGTGACGCTCCCCAGCTCTGTCCAGATATCGCAGCGCATGTACCCAATACGCACACACATTAAACTCTGCTCGCCCGACAAGGCAGACAGTGGAACCTGCCTTCTGCACGAAGTCAAACATGGGAGAGCAGCCTCAGCTCCGGTGTTTGTTGTGCGAAGTCGCCACATTGGCGTAGCCTCGAAACAATGCTGGTGGTATTTGATCAAGACACTTATCCCAACTGCCACTTTCAACTGTCTACTTAAACGCTTTAACAAAAGCAGGATCAAGAATGCATGCAGTCCCTAACGGCAAACACACTTGATGCTGAGCCTCTACAGCTTACAAACAGTGCTCAAGTAAGGGCAACCGCAGAGGCGGGTGTATTGTGTAGGCCTAGTTCGCGCCAATGCACCGAAGCACAGTACATGTTAGCAATACGTATAAATCATCCAAATCCACCTTCAGTTGTTCGTCTGGTGCATATTTCTGTCCGTTTGCATGCAGCGTTGGAATGTATATACAGTGCGCACCGTCGGCTCGTGGGAAGGGACGCTTCTGCCGCCTCTATTGGCGATTACGACGGGCTTATTCCCATTCTCCATCTGGTTGTCTACTTGTATCCTCTCTATTCGCAACACAACTTTTTCTCTGTCTCCTCGCTGCTGCAGCCCCACAGCCACCTGCGACAAGCTCGCGTAACACAGCTCCTCAGCCAAGGAGTCGCAAATCAAAGACACCCCAATCTCCTTCAGCTTCACAGCCAAGTCAAAGCTTGCAAAGGATGTCTCCGCCATCTGCAGCCCCTACACACGCATCCGCACAAGCCCAAACAGCAGCATGCGCCCATGTATGTACGTAAACATACATATGTGCATCGACCTCTTGCCAGCTGCAGCAGGCGTTGCCACGATACAAAAACAGCCACGCCCAGTAACGCATCTCCAAAGAACATTAGTCAAAGCACAAGCAGCACAAGCACCGAGTGCAGCAGGACCGTCCAGAGCAACAACAACTCAACGACCTCTTAATTGCACGAACCGCAGCTCTATACTGGAGCGCGTGGGCAGCAGACGCAACAGCAGTAGCGCATTTGCCCCCCTCACCACGTCTGCCGGTGTGCTTTGCGCTGGCGGCTGTTGTGTTGCGGGGAGCAGCTCTTTTGTCATCTTGGCATCTTTCGGTAGGACGGCAATGATGGTGTCATCACCGAACTTTTCAGATGTTACGACAAGATCTCCAACATCCGGCATCCCCAGCAACACCTCATAGCGCTTGTGCTGTGGATGCGCCATGTCGAACAGAATCGGCCGCCGTGGAGCGACGGTTTTGCTGTCTAGCCACAGAAGAACCTGGCACTGCAGCATGCATCCCCAAACCCCACACGCACCAACTCCTAATGAATATGCGGCTGTATGCACGCGGCCTCTAATTCTGCGGTGGCGCGCCTGCGGCTGTTGAAGCTGCTGCTGCGTGCTCGAAGAGATGTTGCTATTATTCGGTGGTACCTACTGACTTGTGGGGGTGCCGCTACTTTAGTGGGGTTACTATGGGCTTGCGATTGCCACTCCCGATGTGTTTGTTGTTATTGCTGCGTGGTTGTGGGAGGGAGTATTAGGCTAGAACAAATCACCCTTGTATGGCGTTGTTGCTGTTCGTGCGGCTGCTCTGTCTAGTGCTGCTATTGCTGCTGCTCTAGTTGTTGCTCCTGTCTGTGCGGTTCATGCGCTTGGTGTTCGTGCTGCTCGCGTTGTTGCATGTGGCGTTGCTGCTAGTGCCAGTGTTGCTGCTGTTGGGGTGGCCGCTTGTGGAGCTTCTGTCTTTGGTAGGCTGGTGGTGGCGGCTGCTTGCACTGTTGCTGTTGCTGCCTGTGCTGATGTTGTTGCTTACCGGCCTGGATTTGTACAGGAAAGGGAAGGGCCACCCATATACGACAGACTGTCCCTCATGCGCAAAGAAATGGCAGTCTGCCTCAGGGGGCCGCCCTGTCTGCCTGCTGCTGCTACTGCTGTTCATCTCGGAGTGGAATGTATGCACCATCACGCGCTGCACAGTTGGACAGCAATTGCGGACTACGAATGCCCCCCCGGTATCTGATGCCCGTATGGCGATGCTCTTGGCTCCCCCTTCAGGGGCAACATCGACGGCATACACATCTGAAGACATGCAGGCAGCAACGAAAAGTGTGGTTTGGTGGCCTGCTATGACTGATTCTATGTGACTTTGTGTGCCTTTCTCCGCGCCTCTCTTTGGCTGTCTGTGTCTGTGGGTGTCTGCACATGTGCGTGCCTGCACGTCCGTCTGCCTGTTTGCTCCACAGCTACTCTGTGTCGAGCCCTCTCTCCGTGTCTCGGGTATCTCATCCCTCACCTGGCTGCGTAGGCTTGGGGCTGCTCGATGGGACAGCCACCCACGTCCTGCCTGCGGTTTCCTCGCTGGCCACCACAGGCCCTGACCAGCCGCTAGGGCTGCAGCGCCCAACAACGAACTGTAGATGCTGCGGCAGCTCCTGCTGAGGCCAATACACTGGGTGTGTTTCCCCTGGCTTCACTGCAGCACAGTTGTAGCACAGAAAAGATTAACCGAGCACTGCAGCGTTTGCATGCATCACGTTTTCCACCAACACACGCAAACACACGCTAGATCGCCTTTGTCGCGCTAAAGCCTGCACCAGCTGCAGCAATAACCATAGGGGCCATAAAAAGATGAAACCGCAGCTGCAGTGACACTGCCACCAGCAGTACCCATTCGTTCCGATCCCTCGCGCCTTGTGCTCGCCGCATCATATGTGGCGACGCCACACAGCAGCAGCAAAAGGCAAGAAGCGTTCCAGTAGAAAGCGGCAACACCATACAATGGAAGCGGTATCTTCGTTTTGCGTACCCTCGACAAGAGGTCCCTGCGTCCGATCTTGTCGCAGGTAGACCGGTTGCTGGAGACAGTTTGTCAGTAGAAACTCCGGGACCAGCGACACCACACGGCAGAGAGCACCTGAGGAGAAACGCGAAGAAGGAATTTAGGGCGTAGTGGCTGCTGCAATGCTGCAGAAGCATGGAAGCGCATACCACGTTGATACAAGGAGAAGCCGCCAAGGCAAAGCAAAATACGGAAAGGATTAACAGCACCTCTGTGGAAGCAACTACCTCCACTGAACCAGACACCTCACAGTAGAAAGCTAACCTCTACTTTGTCTCAAAGCCGAGTACAGCACAACACAGCATGGTAGAAAGAAAGAACACTTAGTAGGCACATACCGACAACCATGTAAATGCACATAGAAAGGGAGCAGGAGAAGAGATGCAGCATGGGCAGCCGCAGGCCCGTACTCTGCTACCAGGTGAGGGAAGGACGCAAGCAGAGACAGGAGCTCATGTCAACTCGCCTGCTGTGTGTGCCAGCGCCAGCTGGTCAGTCTTCAAGCACAGCGTGTACAGGCTAGATGGGGCCGCCAACTCAGCTTTGCTGAATCCATGAAGAGCGGGAACGTCAGCGCAGCATTCCACTGGCGTAGAGCCACGAGGCACCGTAAACAAAGACAACTCCGGTGTCTGTACAGTTCACCACACGCAAGATAAGCGCATGAAGCTGCAGCTTTGTGTACAGCCCGGCAGATCGCTACGGGCCACCCGCGGTTTCGCCAAAACACGGTAGGAACACAGATACAGAAGAAGGAGCTTTCCTAGCAGGCGCAGGTGCCTAACAGTCTCATACAGCAGGGCCCCAGAGACTGAACAGAAGAGACCGCATTGCTAGCAGGAGCATACACCTAACGGTTCCCACCGTCCCTGGTTAAGCAGACTTGGGTGACCCCCAAGTTCCATATTGAACTGCAAGGCGTTCTAGCCACACATGCACCGATGTAGCCGCTGCGCCTTTCTCACCGTTGAGTCTCCTAGAAGAGCGTAGCCCCCAAAGTCGGGGAAGTAGCGGCCCGCCTGTATTGGCTTAATTTTTAGACCCGTTCGGTCTATGAAGAGACGGGGAGCAGAGACAACAGCAATAAGCTGTTTGGCAGAGACAAGTGGCACATACGGAGCCACTTCTGCTGCGTCGTGCAGCACCTCCAACTCTACTGTGGCCAGCGACGCAGATGGAAGCTGCACGCGAGACACGAGGCCCTCCTGCAAACAGAAGACCGTGTGACAAAGAGAAGGCCACTGAAGGCACTACGCCACAACCTTCGACACGCTTCAGAAGAAGTTCAAGCACATGATACAACATGCACGCAGCAGACACAGTGAGCAGTCAGAGGTGACAGAAAAGCGGAGGCATTGGTGCCAGATGCTGGCCAGATATTCGGCAACAGTGTTAACATGTCGTCCAAGAAGTGGCAGGGGGCAGCAGCAGAGCCAGCAGCAGCACACCTCTGAGGAAAGGAAGTTGCGGAGAGGCGGGGACCAGCGGGCGTCTTCGAGGACTGCGAATCGAAGCCAAAGGGATAGCTGTCTGCTAGGGGGTACTTCATAAACATAAAATACGGACTGCCTCGTCAGTATGCCTTGAAACACAGGCTGCTGCTGCAGCTGCTGCAGCCGTTGCAACGCAGATGCAGGTGGCGGCCTCTTCAAGGGGACGCTAGACCCGGACGCAGCAGCAGAAGGCAGCATACACACATCCAATTCCGTCAGAGTTGCATTCATAAGCGTCAAGGCGGGGAACACAGTCAGTGTCCTTAGCAGACGTTCAGCGGGCAGCGCCGTTTTGTGATCTTCCTGAAGCAAATGGAAGAAGAGGCATTTCTCCTTCTTCACCATTGATGCAGCAGCCAATGCATCATCACCTCCTGCTGCGCCTCCTGCTGCTGCAGCTGCTGATCCGGAAAGCGATGCAGTGCTGCGCTCTTCAGGCGGCAAGTATGCACAGTGCATGCACTGGCAGTCCACCACCCTGCTGCGGGTGTCTATACAGTCTGACCAGCCAGTGTAAGGCCCCATATCCGGCGGCGCAAGCGGTTCCTAACAAGCCCAGGAGACACAAAACTCCCGCAGCAGCAGACATGGCAGCACATCCAAGGAGGCAGCTCCATCCACAGCAAGGTGGAGAAGAGACAAGATTGAAGAGGAAGCTCGTCTAGACGGTGACACACGAAAGGTGACCTCCCAGAGACACCGACATCAGCATATAAAAATGCACACAGTAGGTATAAGAATGCACGCATGCGGCATGTGTTAGCAGAGAACCTCCCAAGGCCTCATGAGGTCGCAGCATGCGCGCAGCTGCATACATGCAGCAGCAGCAGCAGTTCCCTCCCTACCTCTCCCGATTCCCCTGCCTTCCTATCAGTAGCAAATGCTGCAGGGCGGAAGCAAACGAACACCCATCCGGCCCCCAAAATGGCATCTTGGGGAACAGACATGAAGTGCTGGTTTGGCAACAAGAACGTATATGCAAGCTTGCTTTGTTGCCGTAGCTGTTGCTGCTGCTTCTCCGGTTGGTGCTGTGGAGAAAAGAAAGACCGCCCTTGGGTGGTGATTCTGCGTAGCTGGGGAGATCCGGAGGAGGTGGTGCTGGTGCTTCTGCCGGTCTTGCCGCTTGCTGTGCGCTGCAGCTGCCACAGAAGCTCCTGTTGCAGAGCGAGCTCTTGCATGCGTTGCTGCTGCTGGCGCTCTTGTCTGTCCAACATCCACTGTGGGATAGTCTTGAGTTGGGGATCGAGTAGAGTGACCTCCTGAAAGGACTGAATTCCCCCAGCCGCCTGCGTGTCGGGCTGCTCCTGCAGCACGCTGAGGGGTGCAGCTGTTGCTGCTGCAGCAGGCAGCAGCAGTGGCCGCTGCCTTTGGTCCAGGAAACACACTTCTAACGGCAAGCCACTACGGTTCTGCAGCAGCACTGTGGAGGTCAGCAGAACCAGCTTGTAGGAGGGGTGAGGGCTGAGCACCTGTGCCACCAGCTCGCTGCTTACTCTCCTCGAATCTCCTCTTCTTACTGCTCCCCCCCAAAAGTCCTTCTTTAGTTCCAGCGCAGCCCAGTGGCTTGCGGTCGGAGTGCCTTTAACCGCAAAGAAGGACACAGTGAGACAGGGAGACAGGCACTAGACGTGCATGCAAGAGCAACATCCTAGATGCTCTGGAGTGGCGGCACAAACTGCAACAAAAGCAGCTGCGGCAGTGCAGCACTGATATGCAGCGGACAGCTGATGCCTGCAATCTAGTTCCTCTCTCTGGTAAGCTCATCATTCGTCTACTCCTTTCAAAGGCTACCAGCACGGCTAGCAGTTACCTGAAGCAGCTGAAGGGGTGCCTTCAGCTCCTGAAGAACCCTGCATCTGCTGTTGCTTCATAGGAGAGGCGAGGGTGCGTGTTGCCCCCAGCGGGATGCTCTCAGGCAGCAGTGTATCTCCACCTCCCGTTACATGCGCAGCACCAAACTTGCTCTTGCTCCTCATCTCCTCCAGTGAACTCACTGGCCGTGCTGTCCGCTGTTGCTGCAGCGGCGGCGGCGGCACTTCCTGCTCCTCCTGAGTGCACTGGGGCAGCAGCAAGGAGACGCTGTGGCTCTTCATTGCCTCAACCAGCACCGCCTGCATTCCCTGAGGAAAAGGCCCGACGCAGCGCCTCGGGTATCGCTGCAGCTTTTGCTGCTTCGTCTCGTCGGCAGAGGGAACAGCAGCAGGTTGTGTGTGTTCTGCATCAAGAAATTCGCCGATTGTGCGCTGGGCATCGCGCGTTAGGAGGAGGCTGCGAAGGAGTTCTGTTCTTGGCACATGGGGCAGCACTTCTGACGCTTGCTGCACTGTGGTAACGGGAACACATGTAGAAAAGAAGACTTGCTGTCTCCTTTCAGCTGTTCGAGAGGACTCTGCTGTTTTGCCTTCCATAAGCGCCTCCAGGGGAAGGGACTTAGAGCCTCCAACCTGTAGCACCATCACGGCCCCAGTGGTTTCGCTCTCTTCCGCTTCCTCCGCTTCTTCCCGCAGCATCTGCTGTTCCGACTGTGAGTGCTCATGCTGCTGCTGCTGCGTCAGTTGCCTATGTTGCTGCTTTTGTTGCTGCGGCTGCTGCTGTGGCTGTTGCTGGTGCTGTCCCTGCTGTGGCTGCTCAGAAACGAGGGTAAATGCATAGAGGAACTCTCCAGTAAGGTTGAGGTACCGGAAGGGTGCGCCACTACTCTGTTGCTGTTGTGCAGCAGCAACAGCTGCAGCGGCGTCTGCAGCGTATCCCCGTGCTGCAGCAGCAACAGCAGATTTGGAGAGCGGTGAGAATGGTGCAGGCGTTGAACTTGCCTGCCAGCTTTTTCTTGCATCATCTGATTCTGGAGATCCTTCAGGATACCTACTGTCCTGTGTTCCCGTGCCTGATGCTCCAATGCTGGCGGTGCGGGAGGGCAGGGAGGAGACAGTGCCTTTTGTAGGGCCTTCCTGCAGGTGTTGCACCAAGTATGGGACAAACCAAGACAGCAATCGGCAGAGCTGCGGCGTGAGATTTAACAAAAACGAAGAGTAGCTGCTGATCAGCAGCGCCCGCGCTGCCTTCGAATCCGTCCACTGATCGGGAGCAGCGGCAGCAGCTGCTGCTGCTGCTGGGCTGCCAGCGGCCCCGCTGCTGCTGCTGTTGCCTGTCAGGCGCTGTTGGTGAGCGAGATTCAGTTTCTGTTCGAGGACTAGGTCCCGTCTGTACACCACAGTGAGCTCCAGCTGCTCAATAAAGGGCTCCCACGTCCCGCTCTTAACGTTTAGGAAGCTGCAGCTGGAGCGCAGATCAATCAAGGACAACACAAGGTGCCGTCCAGACACCCGGCCCCTTAGCTGACCCACAGATAGCTGCAACTGCAGCAAAGGCACAACGGAGGCGCGCAAGTCGTCCAATAACAACAACTCCACACCCGCCAGCTGTACAGACACCCGAACGTCTTGTTCAAGCGCCAATTCACTATCCTGCTGGTGCTCGTCTACAGGGCAAGTGGGTTCCTGCTGCTTGATGTTGCTAGGAGTGGGGTTCTGTGGTGCTGCTGCCTTTGCTGATGCCGCCGCTGGAGAGGAAACCGATTGATCCTGTAGACCACAAACTGTGGGGCCGTCGGAGCTCAGGCCTCGCACAGCATTCAACAGCAAAGCAATGTCATTGCTGCTGACCCGAAGGAAGAACTCTACACGAACACAAACAGAACAGGAAGCTTCTCCCAGTCAAATATAGCTACAACGAAGCTGCAACAGCCGCCACCTTTGCATCTGCAGCTGGCCTCGCACTTGCTGCAACAGCTCCCCCCGCCACTGCAGTAGCCATAGTTGCTGCTGCTACTACCGCAACATAAAGCAGTCAGTATACACAGCGTTGTCCAATCTCCGCCTACTGCGAACGGTAATGGTCTTGTACTAGCAGGGGCTGGGCATATGGGTAACTCTGCCGACGCTGCTGGTTCAGCAACAGCAGCAGCTGTTGCTGCAGTTTGTGTGGTTGTGTAAGCGGGGACGAGCCACAGGAACAACAACGAGAAGGTGACCGAGAAGGCGGCGTGTTAAGACAGGGCCAAATAAAGTGCCAGCAGCACAGAAAAACACAGTGCAGCGACAAAACGGAGACAGGCACAGAGGAGCAGAGACGCGGAAACACACGGGTCAGGCATGGATATATATCTGTAGGTTTATATATTACACACTAATAGGTGTACTTGTATCAACAGGTGTATCTATATCAGTTGGAAGATTTGCCAATCCGTTCATATGCTCATCTAAGCAACTACGTTCACATATATATAAGTATTCAATCTGCACACTCACCTATGCGCATATTCACGTCCATGTGCATGTGTACATGTGTATACATATCTGTACGTATTAATATACAGATATACCCATCAAGTAGAAGCATATTACATATACGGAGAGAGAGAGAGAGGGAAAGAGAGAAAGAGAGAGAGAAAGGAAGGAAGAGAAGAGGTGAGCAAAATGGAAGGGGGACGCTGGTGCATACACAAGAAAGTGGGCTTTTCTGCTTACTGGGCACAATCAGTTGCATTCTAACCTTCGTCGTCAATCTGTTCGCCTGTTGCGTCCCTCCTCCTGAGGCCACTGCGCTGGTGAGGGGCTTCGGTTGTCTGGTAGTGAGTGCACGGGGGGCCTCAGCGGCAGCAGCAGCCGCGGCAGCAGTTGCTGCAGCAGCAGCGCCCGCGAAGGCGCGCTGCACAGCTGCCATCCTGGACTCTCCTGTGGCGGGTGCTGGAGGTGGTGGCGTCTCTTCGTCTGTCTCTTCAGCGTCACTGTCTGCATCTTCCTCTTCTGTTTCTCCTTGTTGCTGCTCCTGCTGCTCCTGTTGCTTCACCTCCTCGTCTGTTGCTGCAGCGAGGAAGATGCCCTTTCCCCGTACTGACAGGTCCTCGCACAGTAGCACCGCCCCTTCAGTCAACATGGAGGGAATAAGGCGACTGGGCTCAGGCCATTCCCCTATCAATAGATTCTCTTCCCCATATGTGTCGTCCCCTTGCTGTTGCTGCTGCTGCTGAAGGGCCAGTTGCTGCTGTCGAATGCTTCCAGCAAGGGAGAGCTGAATGACTTGGGGGCTCAGCTGGCCGCCCGACTCTGCAGATTTCTGGTGCCCAAGCCTTGTTGAGGCGGCCCTCAAGTAGCTAGCAGACATGCTTCGGCTTCTGCTGCTGCTGCTGCTGGCAGCAAGTTCGCCTTCGCTAGGGGCTGCCTCGAGACGTGACACTTTGCTGTGCTGTATCTCCAGGTGCTGCAGACTCACGACGACCCCTTCGGACAATAGAGATACAAACAGGTCACCACTCCAGACTATCAACGGTGCCGTGGGGCTCTCTATGTCCGTGTACACCACGAACTGCCCGTTGCAGATGCGCAAGCTGATCGTAGTGCTGTTGTTGCTGCTAGTACAACTGGTATTAGTACTGTTGTCGCCGCTTCTCCCACATGTCTGGGATTCCGTGGGAAGGGCTTCTGCTCCTGCCCTCCCCTCGAAGGACCTTGAAACTGTTCGGGGTCCTAGGTGCGAGTCTTGTCGAGAGTTGTCTTGGTGCTGCTGCTGCTGTTGCTGCTGGATCTGCTGTTGTTTCTGCTGCTCGCCAACGAGAGGTTGGGGCTTGGGGAAACGTTTCATGGTGCTGCACGCGTATGCTGTGGAGAAGTATTTGCCCAAGTCCCCGAAGCCCACAACAAGGGTATAAAGCGTCACATCCCTCAGTACCACATCTACAACACCCTTATCCGTTCCTGTTTCAAGGTGCAAAGACACTGCCGGGAGGCAATCTGCGTCTTCATCTGCGTCGCTCTTGCTCCAGCACTCGGCGTCCCCCGTATCGCACCCTTCTGCAGCCTGGGCATCTAAGCATCCCCCATCTAGGGGCCCATCTAAGGGCTCCTCTAGAGGGCCCCCAGTGCAGTGGGCGAGTCTTCGGTAATAGTTGGCGGTTTGCGGTCTGATGTCGTCAACTGCAAAGACATCTCCTGTGGCATTCAGCTGTAATTGAGTTCCCGTTTGAGCCGAAGAGGAGGCAGAAGCGAAAACAGCAATGCGGTGTACCGTCATTAGAGCGAGAGGAGTGCGGGGCCCCATTGATGTTTCAAGCAGCAGCTTGGGGACACACAACTGGAAATCCACATGTAGAGGCACCTCCAGATCCCCTTGTTGTGAAGGCATCTGCAGCGGGATATTCCATGCATCCGTTGTGTCTCCCTGTCCATATCCCCGTGTGTTGTTGTCGCTGGCACTGCAGAGTCTCTCAGCCGCAGCTGCAGCAGGCTGCCGGGGTTCGTACCCTCCCCCCGTGATGTTCTCATTGAGGACATCTAGGAAGAGTGTCAGCTGCTCCCTGGAGAGATGCAACAGCCAGGGTGATGTGTGGGCAGCCACAGACACGCGATTTGAGCACTGTAGCCGCACCCCTACGTTGGCCGTCTTTAAGACCTCCCCTTCTACTGAGACCCTGTCCTCGCGGGCGCGGATTTCTCCCAAGGGGATATCTTCGTTGTCCCGTGCACTCAACTGCATGCCCGAAAAATCCAGCTTCAGGTTAAATGCCCATTCCTCCTCCTTCGCTGCAGCACCTCCTGCTGCTGCTGCTACGGCTGAGGTGTTGCCAGGCTCCAAAACGGCTCTGCAACTGCCTGCATCCTCCTGCTGGGCAGCAATTACTGCGCATGAGCCAGTCTCCCTCGGGTTGATGCAACCTCCTTCGAGGTTTTCCCCGGGATTGTCTCTGTGGGGACGCTGCTCCAGGGAAGCACTTTGCAAGTTAGCAGCAGAGATGAGAGTATATGCGTTGCTAACCCGCAGGATGCCTGCACTGAAAATAAGAAACCGCCCCAGACCTTTCAACTCCACTTTCCCCGAAGCAGCAGCCAAGGCAACGGACTCTGCTTCGCTTTCTGGACGAGGAGACAACTGCTGCTGCCGTTGCTGCTCTCGACGCAACTGCTGTTGTAGCTCTGGAATAGCGGCTTTGTTTTCTGGTACTATAAAAAGGGGGCAGTCAATGTGAAGCGCGAAGAGCGAGCGCGAGCCCGTGGCTGCTTGTTTTACTGCCTCATAGGACTTGGAAATAAATATGTCGAAAATTCCATCTCTAAGGTAGTCTAGAAACGCCTGAATATCCTGGTGTATGTACACCAAACACAACTGACTCACTCGCCCCGACACACAAACGGAAAACGGAAGTGGTCGGCCTGTTCCAGGCTCTCCTCCTCCATATTGCCGTATCTTCAGAGCAACAAGCAACGAGTCCTGCTGCTTCTCCTGCTGGTCATGCTGCTGCTGCTTGTCCAGCAGCGGTTGCTGCTCGTTTTCTCTGGGAGCTAAGACGCAGCGGTCGTTGAGGATGACTGCTGCGTGCCTGATAGAAAGAAATGTCTCCGAGTCTCCATTGGGGTACGACTCGAGGGAGACGCAGACATCTCGTACCCCCACTCTGCAGTACACAGAGCGGCCATCCCAAAACGAGACTGCAGCTCCTTGAACGGTCAAATCCAGAGAAACGGACACCGGCAGAGGTCCCTTCCCCTCGATGTTGCTACTGGTGCTGCTGGGCTCGGGACTCAACTGTTGCTGCTGCTCCCCGCCGCCACCTACTAAGGCAGCGAGAGGAGGCATGTCCCCTCCGACCTCCAGACCACTACGAAGCCACTGAACTCCACTGCTGGAGTCATCTTTCACGCCGCCGCTGTCGCTGCTGCTGCTGCTGCTGGTGGTGCCGCTGGTACTGTGGCCAGTAAGGGATGATATAACGGACGCAAATTTGGCCTCTGCTTTGGCATCGCCTGTGTTAAGGGAACTCTGCATTGCTTGCAGGGCATCCTGTAGAGCAGCAAACGCTGACTCTGAGAGGAAGGGTGGGCGGCTGAAAGTCGCTGCTGCAGTGGCCAGCTGCTGGTCCAGCTGATGTCTGTACACCTGGGCAGTCTCAAGAACGCCGCGAAGAGACTCCTGTCTCCAGTGCACCTCGGCGGGCAAAACTACGAGGGAGGCGCGAGTCTGCGGGTCAGCTCCTCTCTTGTAGTTGAGGGCCAGCCGGAGGCTTCGGGCGTCTGCTGCGCCTCCACCCCGCTTCTCTTCCGGATCGTCACCGAAGCCTCCTCCTGAGTCATCTAAGGCGTCTTGGAAGGACTCCAGTTGCCGCGTCAGGGTCTCAGTATGCGATATAGCGCTTTTGAACCGTTCCATGGAAGCAGAGGGCTGCGAAGATACCGGGGACTCGCAAGAGGGCTGCGAGAAGCAAGGACACAACGACAGCAACACACGCATTCGAATGCCTTCCGTCTACAAGCAGTAGCAACAGAAAGACACGACCCATATGCACTGCCCTGCAAGGCGTACAACTTTACAGGATGCACGCTGCATATCCACCGTCAAAGGTATGCAATTTCAGCCTGCCGGTTTAATTCTGGTTATTCAGCATTATTGCGGTTAAGGTTTGGGGATTACCGTGAAGAGCACCTGCTTGTTTAGGGATTGAAATAGAAGAGACTCGGTGGATGGATCGGAAACAAAGACATCGCGAAGAGCTGCCGAGATATTGCAGGTGCCCACACCAGTGTCTGCTCCAACTGTAATCTCCAAAGCAGACAGTTGCGCTCTCAACACCCCCTTCTCTTCCGTACTGCTGCTGCGGTGTACAATAAACCCGCAACGGCTGAAGCGCCAAGTCGACGCTATCACAAAACCCCCGCCTTCATGGCTGCTGCTGCTGCTGCTGCTGCTATCTCCGGACTGCGTGGTTCGCAGCGCCGCTGGGATCCCTCTGAGGGTCTCTAGGGCCGATGCCGCTGCTACGCCGGCCCGCTTATCCTGGCGTGGCGTCTTTTGCTCGTCCATATCTTGAGGGGCATCCGCTGCAGCAGCTCCTCTAAGCGCAGCACCATATGTTGTGGCAGGAGCGCCAGCAGCAGCGGATGGCAGCGCTGGCTGTACAACGGACTTAGCGAGGGAGACTGGAACTGCAAGGAGTAGCGCCACTGCCTCAGGCGTTGCCTCGATAAATATATCGTCGAATTCCAGGTCCATACTGATGCGTGTTGCCGCCTCTACCTGCAGATGTACGCGGATGGGTATAGGACGTAGCAGAGACACCTCGCGCCCTCCCTTAGGAGAGCAAAGGAGGCGGGTCTCGTTCAGCTCGAGCACTGCCCGTAGCGCTCCGTAGGGACAAGGCCCGTCTGTCTTCAGAGTTAGTCTCCCAAGGTGTACAGCGACACTGCCTGAACCTAGGGAGTCCAGGTGGAAGATGGGCGCCGCTATGTTTAACTCCAGCTGCAGCAAACCCGGCAGACGGTGCACTGCAGCAGCGTAAACTGTTTCTCCCTTCTCCCTCAAACCCTCCACCAATTCCTGCACATGCATCGCCCCCAAATCTCGCTGCAGCTGTTCGGGCTCTTCCTCGTCTAGTGCTGCTGCACTTGTGCCTCCTGCTGCAGGGTCGACTGCTGCTGAACCTCCCCGCGCCTCCTGGGAGTAGACAGCAGACACCGTGTTTTGCAATCTCCTAATATCTTCGGGAGTCTCGAAGACGAAAAAAGCACCGATCGTCTTTAGAATGTCTGGGCGCACCGAGGCCACAAGTGGCGCTAGGTGTACAGACACCCCGAGGATGTTGCCATGTGGGGTCAACCGGTGCTGCAGCAAGAACTGTGCAGCTGCCAGAGAAGTAGGGGCAGCCCGAAATATTGCAGAGGGCAAATGGATAAGCTTCCCTGTATCTCCAAACAGACCCACGTGAGTCTTACCGAAGCCGCCGCTGCTGCTGCTGTCTGTTTCGCTGCGGAAGTGCATGAGGGTGTGCTGTTTCTGCCGCACTGTGAAGTCTGCGAGGGAAAAGGAAAAGGCCCACTCCGCGTTGTCTTCTCCTGAGTAGTCTTGGCGGTTGCAGCAATCTAAGGAAGCCCGCATACCGCTAAGAGACAGCGACAAAAATGACAACTCCTCCTCTCCTGTTCTCGTATTTCCAGCTGCTGCGGCACCTGTCCCTGCTGCACCCTCTGCGAAATGAACATCTGGAGGAGAATTCGTTGGGCTGTCGCGCGGGGGCAAGGGAAAGTCCTCTGGAAGATCAGGAGGTCCACCAGGGGGCCGTTCTGTCTCCTCGTCCTCGGCAGCCGCCTCCAGGTCCCCCTCAGCATCATCCTCAAGAGACACTCGAAACTGCAGCAAGTCGAAACTCAAGTGGTAACTTGATGGCAGACCCATTCCTTGCAGCGTTTCGTCATTCTGAAGACACAGCAGCCCTTCGCATCCTAACCCAACCCTAAATCCTAAACCCTAGACCCTTGACCCCGCATTCAGGCTCTCTTCTCTACATCTTGAATTCTTACGCTTGGCTAAGGGGACCGGCGCTCAACACTTTCGGAAACGAATGCCGATGTGTGTGCCATCCACTGTCATGGAACTCTTCCTGCTGCTCATGCTTCTGCCTCTCCCTCCTGCCCTTTTGTAATATGTGTCTCTCTGCCGCTCTACCTGTGCATTGCCTTCGTGTGTGTACCTCTGTTTAGCATCTATCTCGTGTGCTTTTCTCATGTGTAGTTTCCCTGCGTGCCGGATTGAATGACAAAGAGCCTTGCCTGCACAGAATCCATGATAATCTGTATGTCTTCCTGAGTTATCAGCGGCTCCTCCTCTCCCTTTTCCTGCTCCTCTCCCTGCTGCTGCTGATCGCTACGTGTGGCCCACTGCCACCAACTCTTTGGCGGCGGTTTGGGCTGTCTCTGTTCCTGCACTTTTTGTGTCTCGGCCATCACCCTGCTTGTTGCTTCCCTACATATGCTCCTCCACTTGGCAAGCTGCACGCATCAACCAGTACAGAATCTAGAACCCACGGACGAAGTTGCATTTGGGCTACTTCTGTGGCACCCCCCTCCCCTGCTGCAATGGCCTGTCCTCATAAGTCCAGGTACCCCTGGCCCCCGGATTTGCCATGGGTTATGTTGTTCTTCAGCAGACCTTGTTGCAGGCAGAAGGTTTTTTTGAAGGTGCCACCCGGCTGCCTAACGGTCAGTGGTTAAGGGTGTATGGTTTAGAGTTTTGCTTACATGACGGACGCCCACAACGTCGTACAGCACCCGAAGTCGCCTTTCCTCTGACTCGCTGAGGGGCTGCACGCCCTTGATCCCCTCCTCAGCCTGCAGCTGCCGCCCGTACAGTGCAGTGAATTCCTTTTGAGTCTTTCCGTTGTTTTCCAAGTCCTCAGGGGCTAGAGCCACGGTGTGGGCCTCTCGCAGCAGCAGCCGCTCGCAGCGCCTCCGCCTCTCCCCAGCCTCATGCATCAGCTGCAGCAGCACCGCCAGTTGGGACTTTCCGATGGCTGCTCCGTGGCTGCCTTGCAGCACTTCGAGCCTTGCCGAAAACTCCTGGCGTGTTGCTGCATGCGCTATGTTCAAACGTAGATGAAGGGGCTTCAAGATGTATCTGTTGCGTCCCCTTCTGACCCTCTGAGGCAAGCCGCCTGCCCGTCCTGCGCGGGATGCTTCTGCATGCGTCCCTATCTTCCTCGGTGGGGGAGCAGTAGATGATCCTTCCCGCTTCCATTTGCGGCTCGATTCCCTCGATAGAGGTGCAGAGGCAATGGGGCTCTCTACGGAGAGCTTTTTCGGGCCCACCTTCGTTTCTCGATCTTCCTCCCTCCCCTGCTGCTCCTGCAATGCATTCCAATTCATGCCCAGCGGCACGCCAGCACACACAGGCAGTCAGCGAGTGCATACTACCAGCAGCTGGAGCACAGCAAATATTGAGTAGCTTGCTGGCCTGGTGGCGAGCTACAGTCGCGTAGACGGAGGCTCCCACCTGAACGGCGGCTGTAGGATGCTTGACGGAACGAGCGAAACAGATCACTGCAACGCGTGGCTGGGAAGATGGGAAATTGTCCTACCTGGTGTTCTGAGGTGTCCTGTTGAGGAGCCTGCAGATCCTCGTCGTGCAGCTCTGGGTTAACAACAAGTTCCTTCTCAGGCAGCGCATCTTCGCTCTCCCTTGAAGAAGCCGTAGGCGAAGCCCGTACCTGTGGCCCTTCTGAAAAATCCGGGGAATTACCCAGCTCCAGCTCCGCGTCCACCTCGGGTTCCTCTTCCAGCAGCAATTCCGGTGTGTCTGCTGCTGCTGCCGCTGCTGCTGCTGGGGTGCTGCCCCCACAGCTGTGCAGCTCACAGTAGGCAGCGAGACCCTTCAGCTCGCATGTCTTGTAAAAGTCCTGCTGCTGTTGCTGCTGTTGTTGCTGCTGCCCTTCCCCGGTTGCCCACATGTCAGTACTCTGTAGAGAGAGGCTTTCCAGGACAACGCCAGCCCGGAAGCCTCTTTGGCGGTCCATTAAGGCAACATGAATGCCCTTGACGCTCACTTGCAGAGTGCTAAGGATCTTATTGGCCAGGCGGAAAAAGAATCCGCCCTCGGCGTCCTTCCCAGTTTGCTGCTGCATCTGCTGCTGCAGCTGCTGCCGAACCTCCCGTAGCTGTACCTCGCAAGCCTCCACCTGTTGCATCTTGACGCTGCGGAGCTGCTGCTGCAACTCCGCATCCGCCAGCTGCGGTATGGGCTTTGGCTCAAGCAGTAAATACACATCTTGAATATCGATACTGACTGGAGAAGATCCCAGGCTGGCCCAGGGGATGTTAAGAGTTATCCTTCCTATGCGGCCCCACACTACCTTGAATGGGATACCCAGCAAGTCTGAAATCTCAGGCTTCACATGCAGCTCTGATAGAGCTACATTGCCGCTCCAGACTGCCACCGATAACTTCTCCTTGCTAATGCCCAACACGTAGGGCGCCAGGTAGCGGCTGAGCAGGCGTTCAACCACAGACTCCAGCATTGTACTTTGCTGAGGTCAAAGTCCACCCGAGGTCCTGATAACAGGCGTTATCCTCAGGTGCTTGCCACGTCCCCAGCAACGCACCCGTGGCTGAGCACTCCCCCCTCTGAAGAGGGTAGGAGTTCCCAAGCGCTGACACTGCAGGATACAGATATGGTTGTACCAGCGCCAGGGACAAATGCTTCAGAAGAATGGGCGGTGTGTGCGGGGCAAGCATTCAACAACGGTGTCTGTAGTGCTGCTCGACCTGCCGGCACATGACAGATGAACAGAGCGGCGGCCTCGAAGTTAATTAGACGCTGCGAAAACTCGAATTCTCTTGAGATAAACCACTGAACAGAATAACGGAGGACAACTCTACGGGCAGCTTGCAAACATGGTAGACGAGTCTCCCGCGATCGGCTTTTTGCAGCCTCCCTCGACCATTGCAGCGAATTGGCGGAGGGTAATGGGGTTGGAATTAGTATCGAAGGTCATAGCTGCCCTGTGATTGAGATGAAAAGAAGAATTCAACTCGAAAAAGTAAAGCAGTGTGGCCCTCCGAATATAGTGAACCTGGCACCGACAACGGTACACATCGGGGGAGCCGCTGGGCAAAACGCATCCCTAAAGCTTCCCTTGAAGCCCGATTTCGAATATTAATTACCACAGAAGTCGTTTATTTAAGTGTTATAACATCTTCATTCAAGACTGCTAGACGATCCCTATCCTCAGTTTCAGCAACAAACACACAGCATGTACAGCGCAGCCGCAACAGAGCCAATGGGTTTGCAGACCACCACGGGAGCACGGAGAGCAAACAGATACACAGCATGCACTATGAGGGTTTGAAATTGTTTGAGGTGTATTTTTCAGTGGGAGGAGAATTGCATCATTCCCACGGAAGTCCCCTGTGGTGTTAAAAGGCAGCACGCAGACAAGCCCCCAATCTGTGCGAGTAAAGATGTTCATCGGTGGTCACCGCGGTCGCGTGCAAAGCAGAAAAAATTACATTGGAAAATCCGTCCATTCTGGAGTTGACTCGAGAGCCTTTCCATGTTGTTGAGGCAGAAGGGGGCGACGAGCACAAGTGTACTAGGAATTGTCAACGTATGCATATGCCCGTTGAGGGTCGCAATAAATTCAAAGTGTATTATACAGAGAAGTTCCCAAAGTCAGCAGGCCTACATACCAGCCTCCAGGCGTCCCGGTCTCAGCGACACAAGGACCTGGGCCTTCCGGAGGGACGCTGAAGCATACACCGTCGGACGCTGCTTTGTGTATTTCTACTTGCGCACAGGCCTGCTATTGATGGTGTCATGAGTGTTCATCGATCGCTTACAGTGTTAATGTATGCACCGAATAGGAATTGGTTGTGCGTGCATATGGTGTTACCTTGCACCACCAACTGAGAAAACATACATTGCAGCTTGTGGCAGGCCGCTTTTTTTCCGCACCAGCTCCACGCTTGCGAGGGGGAGGTCGAGGAGTTCAGTGGAGTTGAGCTGTAACAAGATCATTTAGTTTTACAGAAGGTTTATTGTCAATTGTAGCAAAGCCAAAATACTTGGTGAACACTCCACAGAATAAGCTCCCTCCCCAGTCTGCTGGCGTCCAAAGAGCAGCATCCCCCTCCCTTGGAACTGCAAGAGAGGATGCGGATTACCATTAGAAGCAACACACGGCAATACGCTGATGGTGGGAGACAGGTTCTCCTGGACCAGCAAACAGGCAAGCCTTCATGGCTGTATGAAAGGATACTCTAAGCAAGTGTTCAGAACGTCTGAGTGAGGGAGGCCGCGCTCCAGGGACAAACTCAGAGAGTCTTGCCAACAACCGAGAAACTAGGCAACATCTGCCAGCACCCTCTTGTATGCAGCTCACGCCCCCCTCTGCCCCCGTGCCGCTGATGGCTGTATTACTAGGTGATTTCCTCCGGTTGCTTAACAGCAGAGGAGGCTTGTTGAGACTTCTGCTGCTCCTCTCGCTTCGCATCCGCTCAACAGTGTCTGACCTCCCCCGTGTTTTGGTCGTGATGCTGCTTCTTTTTTCTTTGATGGATTCATTCTCCCGGTTTTACTATATTTTAATACCTATTTTTCAGTTTGTTATATTTAGAGAACCCGACCGGCCAGAACACATCATGCAGTTGTTTGAGGGAACAATGCGGCTCTGAGCACGGCACGACGCTGAACGAGATACATATATGGTTTTCTTATTGGTTAAACATCTGGTGAACCAACTGGATTACCCCCATATTCCTCGAGTATTACATTGTGCGGCCAGTTAATGGCCAACTAACTCATGGATAATTTTTACATCTGAGAACATTCCCCTCATTTACTTTCACTTCCAGTGTTCCTTGGGTCTAAAGTGTATTGCAACCACGAAAAATTAGGTCTCTGCAAAACCGGCACAATGAAATGCATGCATTTCTCCGCTGTTTCGCTCAGCGCCTCGGTCCTCTATAAAACCCTCTTCGCTCTGTTTTCCTTATAACTCTGCTTCCGTTTTGCCACAGAGGTGCAAACTTTGTTGAAAGCGCTGCATTCTCTCTTGCTTTTAGGCACGAATACCTCAATGGTGTTGTACATTCCGTGTCATGTCAACATTGTTCATTTCTGAATTAATATGGCACTTTATTCTCATAGTCTTTCGACTCGGCGTGTCCGGTCTACTATCCGCGAAGCGTAGAGGCACTGACTGCGCCAATACATGGGCTGGGATAGTGCACGTTCTCCCCATTGCCTCAAGCATCATATCCGCCACGTAACCTTTGTCGAGTTGTGCTAGTAACTCCTGTCCATTAAGACGAACGAGGTTAGCCACAGAGCTTACTCGATGACGATATGCAGGCCAGGCTGTCATCACCTGCGGTTCCGTCACTACGCCAGTCGTTTCTTGGGGGTTCTGGTGTTCCCCTCATTGTTAAGCTGTGCGCGTGGAGCCGTTTAGTATACAGTACTGGGATCATTTAGGTGGCACAAGGGGTGGTTTTGTTCTCTTTTATGCGTAAATATGTCAGTGGCTCCGACATCAATCCTTTCACCTCTTAGTTCCCTTTCAGGAGGCCAGCCCGACACATGCTGCCTTTCTTGATGAACCATTGATCTAGAAGTGTTCAATCCGCTGTTGGAATTTGCGCATGAATTAGTCTCACTTCTTGGTGAAGCGTTATATCGACAGCTTCCTGTGCTTAGGCCTGCCCAGCTCTGCCATTGCCGGCTCCCTCTTCAGCACACACCCCAGCGCATCAAGAAGTGTTTCCATATTGTTAATCATCTCTAGAACAGCAGTACCCTTTCTCACGTACAGATCCCCCTGGAGATGACAACAGCAATTGTGGCTCGTCTGGTGCTTTTTGGAAAGGAAAAATAGTAAACCCTAGACCAGCAAAGAGTTCCTAAGGTATCTGAGCACCCCAGCAACTTTCCTGTATGTATCCATTCCCGTAAATTCTCTTCGGTGTGCATGTACCGTTTGTTGGCGTGCGTTGTGAGCTAGGATGCATAAATTGTTCATACTTCAGCCGCACGAGGTTCCTAACAGTAAATCAGCTCCCGAGAAGTGGACAGATACGGAACAAGTAAAAGGATGAGATTTAAAAATATTTGAGATCGTTTTCAAATATTTGTTGCGTATTTATATATATGCATATTTTTGCTTTGCTGTGCCTCCGGGTCTACTCACTGCTGTGGAGTAGGCCGCCCTCCTGTACAGGTGGTTTTTGTTTCTTCCACCTGCCCCTGGTGAAATAGGCTGCGCGCCTAGGCCCACCGATGGTCTTCCAGTTTATCCAACAACTCCTGCAGCCTGCAACGGAGCCAAATTATTCAGGAAATTGTTTCCTTGAGGCAGATGAACTCCCTTCCCACTCTTTATGGGTTCTGGGTGTTGCGACTCAAGCCCCAGATTGTGCTGCAAAGGGGGTGGCCAATCAAGAATCGCGATGCGTCTGGTTGCTGCCCTTTCAACAAGCCTTCCGCAGACGCACGCATTCGGTCGGCAAATTTGTTTGATGTGGGCACATAAACGCCAACACGGGCTAAGCAGACACCTGGTGCTTTAGGTGAATTTCTCAACAACTGTCTACAGCGTCTGTACAAAGAGCCATGTGGCCCTCCGTCTGCTTGCATTCGCTGTTATCCTGCACATCGAGACGCAACAGGGTGTGTTGCAACTGATGCCGTGACGCTTGACATCCCGCGACTCGAGAGTCTTGAGCCCCTGCACTCAGGACGCCTGGATGCTGGGAATGGATGGCAGTTACATTTAAGGAGCTTTCACTGCAAGCATGTTGGCTCATCTCCACCTCACGACAGCGCATGGATAAGAACCCAAGAACCGTGTTACAGCAGACAGTTGTTGGTAGCTCTTGCTTGACTACCGTTTGTCTATTATAGCTAGATAACGTTACATGCACCAACTTCAGACAGCATTGCAAGCGTTGGAGAGAGTACGATACATTTGTGGTGTCTCCTTTGCAGCTCACTGCGCACCAGAGGTGGCGTCTGTTGAAACGGAAGCGTCAGCGCGACGTCTCCATTCAAACAGCTCCAAATTCGTCTTACACTACAAACACAGCCATTTAAGTTTAAATATAAGAGGAACAAATTCTGGGATAGCTTGCATGCAGTCCTGAAGTCCTTCTAGGGATAGGAGCAGCCAGCAGAACAGGAGCCCCAAACCACCTACAGGGCTGGCAGCAGCCGCCAATCCAGCGGGAGCCTGTCGTTTATGGGGGCCTCTTCGGAAAAAGTTGCCTAGATCTTACGGCATTTCTTCCTGTGGGGCGTGTTTTTTGTGGCTATTTTCGCGGCATTTTTCGGCGGGAAGACCACCTCGTGAAAATGGCCAAGAAATTCGACCCTAACGAGATCAAATACAGTCCGCCGCCCCACTCCTCTCACACTCTGATCGTGTATTGTCCTTCATCTCTCGTTTCCTTCCAAACCAGCAAGAATATTGTAGAAAATACTAGAATGTTAATTGGCGTCAGAAATATCTGAGAATGCTCCTAGGTTTACCCGTCTATGCGTACTCCGTGGCTTGCATGCTCGAGCCAAGTCGTTTGTGTGACTTGCCGGTGGTAGCAGCTATGACTGGTTCGTTCTTTCCAGGACAGTTTCTTCTTGGAAGATTTGCGGTCTTTGTTTGCTTTGCTGCATGCTTCTGCTCTTTTACTCTTATGTGCGATTTGCTCAGTCTACCTCCGCCAGACTGGCGGTGAGGTTGGCGCATCTTCTGTTCTGGCCCCTAAGCTCGGCCCTCTGGGTGCGTTCATTCATCAGTTTTTGTAAAGGGCTGGCTGCTAGCCAATGGTTATACTAAAGTTTAGCTCATGATAAGCCACCAGCTGTAGTCGGTGTGCTGCCTGAGGACACAGGGCCTCTGCTATGACCATGGGGTGCATAGTTCTGGTGCCTGTGATGTCTCGTTTCAGGTATGTCCCCTAAGAAGGTGGGCGATGACATTGCAAAGGCGACGATGGCGTGGAAGGGCCTGAAGGTGACGGTTTGTTTGAAGGTGCAGAACCGTCAGGCCACAGTGGAAGTGATGCCCTCTGCCTCATCTTTGATTATTAAGGAGCTCAAGGAGCCCGTCAGAGACAGAAAGAAGGTGAAGAACATCAAGCACAACGGGAACCTGACGTTGCAGCAAGTTTACCAAATCTCCCGCACCATGCGGACAAAGTCCATGGCGCACGAGTTCTCCGGTACTGTCAAGGAGATTCTGGGCACATGGTAAGTGCAGTGCTTTTCGGCTCCCTCGGGAAGTTTCTGCCCATTGGTCCGTATTGCGTTTTTTACCGAAAAATTGCGTGTTGCTGTGCTTCACTGTTTCCCCCTCAGCGCATCAATTGGCTGCACAGTTGACGGAAAGGCCCCCACCGATGTTCAGGCGGAGATTGACTCCGGAGAGATTGAGGTTCCCGCATCATGAGCTGCAGTCCGCTGCAGCATATCGGAGGTGACAGCCTAAGCTGGAGCCATTCGATTTGGGGAGTTGTTGGGCAAGGAGAGCAGCAAGTGCTCCATGCGGCAAGCAGCCTCGCACCTCTACTAAGCCTGGTTGAACATGGGGCACCAGCACAACCACTGTGCCGCCCCAGCAGTGTATACCACCACAGCCCCAGAGGCTGTCATCTTCGCGGACTCATGTCTTTCTCCTCTATAATATTTTCTGCTCTTCAGCCTAACAGCTGGTCGAACCACGTAGATGGGTAGTATCCGTTGACGTTCCTAGTGCGAAGTGTTATTAGGAACGTCACTTTTGGTATATTGGGCAAAATGTATACGCCCGTCGGCTTTACGGTGTTGTAGCTACAGAGGCTGCAACTGTCTCCGGTTCACCGCTATCGGCGTATTTGTGCAGTGGAAGTATGAAGCTCAGCTGAAGGTGTCATTTGGTCTGTCTGCATGAACTACGACTATGGGTTCCAGTTGAACAGCTTATCGGCGCGTCGGGCGCAAAGTTGAGGGTTAGCAAGTGTGCGGGGTCCAGTTTTTGTATTAACAAAATATAAATATTCCTAGCTCCCCCCTCCCCTCCCCCCCCCCCAGAAGCCACC